ATTTCATCCGCGGACTTCTTCCCTAATTTGATGATTCATCTCATGATTAAATATTGCACGGTATAAACCGACCGGTTAAGCGAGATCCGAAGACGAAAAATATTTGATAAGAGGAAGGTTATCAACCTGGTTAACCTACAGGTTAACCGGGTGCTTCGAGTGCTCGGCTAACACGCTCTAGAAAATGGCTTTTGATTGACCCCGCTAACTCACATAGTAAGAAAGTTATAGACTTAAAAATGTGCTTCACAAAAAAGAAAAATTAACCATGAACTCTCTTCGTATGGTGGTGCTTTCAGTGAAAGTCTCATAACTCCATCAAAAGAAAAGATTTTTAGATCGGGTTTGTTCTGTTTTGATCAGAAATGATTGCTCTTCTCTACCTAACTGCAAAATCAAACTTCGATCACGTTTTTTATTTCTTGCTTGGGCACATTGTCGGAAACGGAGATTTTCAATTTTTAATACTTCATTCTCGAGTACACCATCTACTCTGAGAAAAATTTTTGACATACCACGAGAAAGAGTGCATTGGAAAGTAGCAAACATAAACTGGATTCTCACTTTTGCTAAGCTTTTTTACGGAAATAATAGGAGAAGAAAAAGTTCGAGCCAGAAAAAATACTGAATTTATAAAGTTTTCATTTTTCCGCCTCGCGTATAATTTTTCTTAAATAATAATAAATAAATAAATCTTTTCATCATAGAGAGAAATGTACAAACATGTGTTTTACTTTAGAAAAATTATTATACAAATCGAGTGAGGACTTCTGGACCACCCTTTATATGACGACTTTTGAGTCAACACTTTACATTTCACTAATATTTTTTTTTGTTTTGTTATGAGGCTGTGTTTCTCAATCCGTCTTGTATATCTAGTTGCAAGGTACATGCAAAGCACGATACTCTTTTTCGTAATCTACACTAGTAACGGATTCGCTAAATTGCTAGGGTTAGTTTATAGCAAATTCGTACATATGTCGAATTAGTATATCAAATCAAGATTAAGTATCTTGTTCGGCTCATGTGTGAGAATTTTTCGAATATCGGCGCTCAGATGTCGACCGCACCGGCAAATCAGCTATTGGAAACACTGTACATCAGAGATTGGCAAGGGATTTTCGAATTGTTAAAACACAACACCATAAGTGTCGTTTACTAGTAAAAGAATCACCCCTCGTATGTGCAACTACACTGAAACTAGATGAGACCGATCATTCGATACCGTTGTACGTTTTTCCAAATGGTATTGATAGAAACTCGATTATAAGGTCAATGAACTGGGATATTACCATCACTACTGACGCTGTTTAAAAGAAATATGATGTCATATTTTATAAGTAGAATATTCCGTTCTTTCTCGTCCTGTAAAAATGAAAGTATTGTTGTTAGATTCTTGTTTGAAAATGGTCATTTAAGGTCGTAATATCACAAAAGAAAAAACAGAGTTAAGCTGATATTGCTGTAGTCGTATTATAAATAAATTTTAATAAATCCAGCGATATCTTTTCGACATACTGGACATTTGTTCAATGAATAACCACATGGTACACACATTGCACGGTGACCGCACGGTATACACGCGATGCTCTTTTCGTCTGTTTGACATACAACACATAATGGTGAATTAGAAACTAGAAAAAGAATAAAACAATAAATAGTTGATTACGACATACATGTACAACTTTACTATTAGAATAATATTTGCACAAACCTGATTTTTGTGATGGAACTGATGGATTGATTATGTCCTGATTCATTCCGGTATATAACTGATTTTTATTCACTTGTTTACTAAAAAAGAGTTGACTATATACTCAATGCAATTTGACAATAGAATGAACTATCAAGTAATTATTAAATTGAGAACAAGTAAATATAGGATTAATCATAAGTCATGTTATTCACCGCTAGAAAATTCGTAAATTCATTGTTCTTTAGTTGAGTGAGAAGTGCAAAGTAAACCAATTTACTTTGAAGCAAATGATATTGGTGGTTCCTCATGTTTATATTTGATCGACAGAATACGCGGGTTTTTGCTTAAAGGTTTAAAACCGAATACCATTTTACTTTGAATAAAATTTTCTAGTTACATATTTATTTATAACCGCACAACTAGGAAAGTTGGAAATCTCTGCCTTCTAACTCACTTCTTTTGTTGCT